GGAGGGGGAGGGGAGCGCTGACTCACCCGCCGCGTCACTGCTGGTGTGTGGGGGGGGGGCTCGGCTTGGCGCAACATGTCACAATATTTTGATTTTATTTTTGTCACATTAAGAGTCGGCATTCTGCTTAAAACTGTATAAACTGGTGTAGCTGATGATTCATAATCTTCATAAGTTCTGTATTTATTTTCAGAAAACATCACTTTCACTTCTCATACTTATTACAGTTACAACTGCACATTTACCACCTACAGTAACTCACGGTTTTTAAGAGTAGCTGCAAGTACAGAAGCAAATCAGAACAAAACAACAGGAAGGACAGTAGATGATTGAGGGAGGGGGGAGAGAAAGAGGTGTTTTAATTATCAGCGGAAGACCATCTGTTTATGTAAAACATGCGCAGAAAAAAGACAGGTTATAATTAAGTAACAGCAATTAACAGGCTGATCAGCATGCAAATAGTGGATACTCCTCTATCCTCCAAACTTAATATCATTTGTGCATGTGGAAGATATCACAAATTATAACTTTTTTTAACTTTCGGAGAGCTACAGGCAGGGTGGTCTAGGGAGGTGGCCACTGCTATTTTGAGTGTGAAGGCAATATCCCTTTCGAAGATTACAATGCTGTCTTTTTTTTTTGTTTGCATTCTGTTGCATAAAGACAACTAATAATACAAGTTCAACCATCAACCCAACAACTTTTATTAATTTAATTAAAGAATTGGGGAATTCTGTTTTTATCATCATTTTCTTTAAAGAAAATAGTTTCTATTCATTAATGGGATACTATCTCATGAAATTACTTTAAATTTAAATTTAAAAAACTATTTTCATTAAGATTTTCATATGTAATGAAAATATAAAAATTTTAATTAGTGTGATGGCCAAAATGAATAAAGTTAAACTTACTACTTGTACAAATTTCTACCTTTCTAGGTGAGGTGGAAGAGTCAGCCTTTTTAAGTATATGATTTTCATAGGCTACCATAAAATTCTTCACATGAAAGTTCAAAGCTATCATCTGGCAACTGATAAGAGCAGACTTATCATGATTCACGTCTATTTCTTTCACTTAGAGACTGTGCAACAGACTGCTCCAGCATTTTCTTGAGACTACAACCCTGGCTTCATGTAGGCTGACAATCAGCTAGCAGGTCTTCAAAGTGTTAAAAAGTTGTTGGGATTATGTTCTTGACCACTGTCATTAGATCTGAGAATTCTTTTAAAATTTTATGTAGTCATGCATAATCTTACTGAAACAAAACATCATGTACTTACAAAGAACATTGATGAAAGTTTTTTGTGCAATTTTTCCATGGCGGTTGATGGCCTCACAAGTGTAATTGCCTCCTTCAGTACGTGACACAGGTGAAGATATGATCAGTGCATTATTTCCTTTTGTGATGAAGGTGCCTGATTCGTGCTTCCATTGGTATGTGGCTTCAGGGTATGCTGTAGCACTGCAGATGACTTTTTCTGGAATATGCCCTTCAGTAACGTTCACTATCTTGTTTGAAACTGTGATGTTTTCTGGGGGATCTGAAAATTATGGAATACTGTTTACTTGAGAGTATCTATGACTATACTAACATAGGTTTGACAATGAGCAGAGTCTGTTAGGGAAGTGACTAGTCAATTTTATTTGTGTTCCATGTACCTGATTTACAAAAAAAATATTCATAAAACCTGAGAACACTTTGCTAATTCAGACACTCATATAACCATTGAATTCTGAATTAGTGTGAGGAATAAGAGTATATAGAGCTGTATGTAGTAGAAATAATTCTTGTCCACACAAAGAAATAAAGCAAAAAATGATTGACTACAAACGTTCACTAATTTGTTATACCAAAATAGTAAAAGTCTAGTGACTTTCCACTATATTTAATGGGGGAGGGCTATATTTTCAAAGGTTTCATCTCAGTTTTCATTTTAATGCATGCCATCGTATAAAACCTCTCACAGATATTATTCTTAAACCTGAGCGATTCTTCATGTGGACTTTATTTTCAGAAAGATTTTCAGCATGACCCTGAAAGTTTTCATCCTTAACATGAACACAGGATTAGTTGCAGTTAAGCACAGTTTCAGTTGAGAAAATATAAATTCACTTTATTCCAAGATAGCTACAGTGCTTGTAAGGGTATTATAAATTACTGTTGTTGACACAAACAGTATCACATATCCTTAAATTTTGACAACCTTGACCAAACAATTTATAATGTTCATAGTTTCACCTAACTATGTTTTTAATATGTTATCCTGACAGCCTTCTCCAAAGTAATGCACTTGAGTTTGACAAATTTTGTATTGAAGCCTGACATCTGTAATGAAGCCACTTCTTCAGTTACAGAGCATACGCTATTCGTTTGTATTATAGTCATGAAATTAGAACTATGGTTTACTGTATTTATCTGACTATTAGACAAAATATTCTTACTAAGTTTTCATTCAAAATGAGGGAGTCATATTAATGAAGGGTGGTAAACATATAAACAAAAAAACAAAAAACAAAAGAGACTATGTTGTACTTACATTCAACTCTAAATGCTGTACTGCTTCTTACTCCAGGTCCAACTTCATTGTGAGTGCTCTGGCACGTGTAATTGGCGCTGTCATGGATGCGATCTAACTGTCCACCTGGCCATGCAGACATGTTCCACATCAGCATTGACCTGATGGATTCAAAGTCACTGGTGCGTGTGTCTGGAGGAATGACAGTGTTGCTCACTGAGTATAAAGAGGATGAACTATTTAAGTTTAGTAACTTTCCATCTTTGAGCCACTGCATGGAACAGAGAGGCGAGCATTCCACTCGACATGATATATTTATATTTGATGCATTGACTAGGGCTCCATGATATAGAGGCAGTCGCTCAATAAATGTAGGAGGAGCTGCAAGAAATAAGAAAAAAAAAATCAGGATTAATAACATCTGACATAATAATTTGCATCTTTGTGCAGCAACATAAGTTTCACATCTCAGAAATAACAATATATAAGTTCTGTACATACACATACATGAATTATTAATACATTTATTTCTTATCTTTCTATCACCACTGCCTATCATTTTTGTCATTAGATTATGTAATACAGGGATCCCAGATTTCCCATGTTCAGTTGAAATATTAAGGCCTGACGATAGATGACTCAGTTTTGTATTTTGACACATCATGAAGGTAAAAGGTAAAGTTGTGCCCGTGCTTAACTAATTCAGTACTATGCTATCAAGACGTAAGGGGCAGTGGATGTATAGAACCACATTTTCTTCATCTTGGCAGTAGTGGAAGGTGAGTGGTTAGCTTCATGCTCCTGCCATTTTACTACCAGAGAAGAAGCACCCCAGTACACATTGGATAGGAGGCTGGGTGGGCCCCAGAGCCAGTCGGGATGACGCAAAGAAGAGAAAATTCTTGACCCTACCAGTACTGAAACTGACCCCTTGGTCGTCCAGCTATAGCGAGTCGCTATTTCGACTGAGCTATCCAGGCTCACCCTAATGGCTTTTTAAGTTGAGGGTGTACACATGTAGAGGCATAAATGGCTACTGGAAATTCTGAAATGTGGGTACTGGTATCATCTAACCACACACTAAAAACCTCTCTTATAAAGTGTTACATGTTTCAGCATGTTGGTTTATTATTAAGACACATTTTCAGTAATGATAACATTGTAACATAATTTGTTTCTCACAAAGAGAGTTTATCTATAATACTTCTAATTTCTTTGAGTTTTCTCCCTAAAGCCCCTGAAATCAATGTCTACTGTACCTCATATCTTAAATCATACCACAGCTCCATGTTAGCAAGTCAATTTGAACTTACCTGACACCTCAATATACACTGTAGCAGGATCTCCCTCTCCACCTTTATTATAAGCCAAGCAGGTGAAGTTAGATTCTGTTTCCAGTGTGACTGGATCAATGGTCCAGTTGGCTGTTGTAACATCTTGAATGAGATGTGTTCCACGCAACCAACGATATGTGGTAGTCTCCGGCCGACCTGCATCATCCACACTGCACCTCAATGTCACCGAACTCTTCTTAATCACTCTCATTGGTTCATATACAAGTGACGCTGCCCCAGGTGGATCTGAAAATAAGGTTAAAGGAATAATTTCATACTTGTCATTTAATTATGAAATACGATTCTCCCTAATTCTAAATTGAATTGTTTCCTGCCAGTAAAATTACTAACAGGTTTAAATGTGCTTAATGTGACTCCACACTTTTACATGCGTTGTTGAATGGAGCTTACTGGGTGTGTGTGCGTATATTCATTGATAACTCAAAATTAAGAGACTATACTGTAGGACCCTTTATAAATGGCTTATCCGATCATGATGCTCAACTCATAGA